TCCGTGCATTCGAGAGTTGTGCACTGTGCGCGCCGGGGGTGGAGGGGGGGGGGCATCTAAACACATAGCCCGGTGATGCAAATATATTATCTAACCCAAAATTCTGGCTATGCCACTGATTATGCTGACTACCATCATCGGTCGTGTCGCATCGCTACAGACCAAAGGCGGTGGCCTTTGTCGGTCAGGGCAATCACCGTCGATGGACCACGCGGTGCATCCTCAATCTGTCTGTGAGGTGTGTACCTGACGCTGCACGAGCTGTCGGGGACAATGAGAATGTCAGTCGAGGAGCTGTACAAGGACGTCGTGCCCGAATTGACGGGGCCTGCACAAGCAATGGAGCATATGGTTTAATTCGATACAACGTGATAAAGGGCTTTTTAAATTAGTGGTAGAGTAACCTCGTGCTAAGACATAAGTCATTGGATCCAAATCTGATAGAGTACTTTTTCTACTAAATTGATTCATTTTTTTCTTTGTTTTTGGAAACTTTCTCTATATTTGTAGAGAATTTTACGACTTAGTGCGGGATGGATGCATTTTTGGTCTGAACACTAAATGAAGCACGAAATGGAAATTACAAAAAAAAAAATAACGCCATGGAGAAGTTGCGCACGCTCTGCACTGGCGAGAAGGGCGTCGCCAAGAGCAAGACGGCAACTACTCGCTTCAACCTCGCCTGGGACCTTCTCGGCGCGGCTCTGACTCTAAGCTTCTCTTGGTGGGTGCTTGCGGCGTTGACCGGGCTATCCATGCTCGCTTTCACAGGCCTCTGAGAATATGCCAAGCTCGCCTTTATGTCAGCTCTGACTCTGATCTGGTTGTAATTTTTTTTTACCTTCAGTGTTCTACGTACTGCCGTGATTGTTGAATAGATTGAATTTTTTTTTCGAAAAAAACAAGTCCTTTTCACGCAATTTTTTCCTACATTTATGTAAAGATGTTGTTTATAAGACTCGAACGTGTGACATCGTGGTCACAAGAAAACAACTTTACCACTGCTCCAAAGATCCCCTTCGTCTTAAGGATGAGGTTGTATTCCTGCAAAAAAAAAAGGACTCCTGACCATAACAAAAAACAGATTTTTAAAAAATATTTGAATTGTTTCTGAAGTTGAAAGCATGGACACATTCAAGAGTTGGGACTTGGGAGCCCCCTGATATTTCCCCGTCCGGACCGGACGCCGGCGCCACGCTCCAATACCGCATCCTCTGCTTCTCCTCCCACGGCCCTCCTCAAAGATGCCGCCACGGCTCTAGTCCAACCTCCCGCGCCCCACCGGCACCGCACCACCGCCACATTCCACTCCCCACCACCGCCCCAACCCCCAAGCTCGGGCCTTTCCGCCGCCCCCACCGCCCCGCCGGCCATGGCCTCCCACCTCCGCCTCCACCTCGCCGCGCCGCCGCCCCCTGCCCTCCGCCAGCAGCACCTCCCCCGCCTCCGCCTGCCGCGCCCGCCCAGACTGCCCCTCCTCAGCCTCCCGTCCCCGGCGGCGCCCTCCTCCCTGCGTCCCCGCGTCCTCTCCCCTGCCCCGGCCCGGGCGAGGGTCGGCGGCGCCGAGGCGGAGGACTCGGACGGCGAGGGGGATGCTGGTGGCCTCGTCGGGGAGGACTCGGCCGTGTTCCGGCTGGCCGACCAGCGGGTGGCCTCCTGGGCCTACTTCGCCGGGATACTCTCCGTGGTGCTCTACGGGCTCAACGTGCTCTGGATCGACCCCGCCACCGGGGTCGGCACCGGGTTCCTCGACGCCGTCGCCGCCCTCTCTGACAGCCCCGAGGTGCGTCTCCCCAGGAACCATTCCCTGCTACTCCCAGCCTGCCTATATTACATGGAGCAAATGATTCATTCACTCCGTTGAACTAAAACCACGACGAGTAATTTGGGACGGAGGGAGTAGTAGAGTGATACACTAATCAGAAGGGGATGGTTTGGTTTGGGTACCTTCTTGCCTCAAATACTGTGGTGTCTAAATTTCTAGAACAACCAACTACTGTACCTTGGTATTTTACTTACTTTTGAAATTGGAACCCTTTCTTTATTAAGTATTGATCAAAGTTACATTAGATAAAATGAGGGGATCGAACCAGCTCACTAGAAGGTTCTTCCATGATTCCATCCACTCACAACTACCATATATACATTCTAGCAATCTTAGCAAGTTCGCGAGCAACTGAATTTGCCTCCCTGTAGCTCACCTTGGTCCAAGGGGAGATTCCATATTTGATCATCTTGTTGCTTGCCTCCAAAGAGTGGTTTCGACTTCGAAGCTTCATCATTGAATGGCTTGACTTCGAAGCGTTCTAGCACAAGGTCCTGAGAAAATTTTCATGGCAATCCATATGCCCTTAGGCCGGCGACAAGCTTGTGCCGTGGCTACAGAATGCTGTAGAGCATGACTGGGCTGATAAGGTAAAGGGTGCACGCTCCCCTTATCTCTCCGATGATATGACACGTATGGCGTCTTCGGAACGACTGCCTCTTCGACAGAGTGGCCGGGGATGCAGAGTGGGCTGATTCAATCCTCATGGAAATGGAGGCCCGGGGGCAGTGGCGGTGCCAGGATAAAAGCATGTGTAGTCACTTCAAAATAGTGTACTCAAATGTACAAATTTTCATGTATTTTTGCATGATTTATACTTGCTATATGACGTTTATTCCAAAGAGCTGTGTAGTCAAGTGACTACACAGCCTATGTGTGGCTTCGCCACTGCCCGGGGGAGGTTGCCACAACAAGCTCGGCCATGTGATGTCTTTTCAGAAGCAGTAGGATAGGAGTAGTTTAGCTGTACGGCTCGTTTTGCGCTCTTCTTCTGCTTCTTTGCTCTTTCCTGGCTGTTTCTGTTTTTTAACTTCATTTCGGATGTAAGTTTGACGTCACCTGAATGTTTTCTTCTAGTGCAAACTGGTGTGCACTTACGTGCATATTCAAGAAAAAACATGAACCTTAGCAAACGCAGTCCTTTGGCCGTGGGCTTACTGTAGCAATTTTTAGTTCGATGTCACACGACAGTTTAGATCATCAGTGGTTTTCATTTTTTGACTAAAATCCAGTTCTCAACAAATTTCCTGAACGATGTCACGCCCTATATTTTAACAATAACCAGGTAAAACCTCTTTTGCTGATTAGTAAATGCATGCCTGGTATGAATTACACTTGCTTTGCTATATCTATGAGAAAATCACACTTTTTCCATATTAGTAAGACTAGTGTAAATCTAGTAAATGTACAACTAATGAATCAAAATAAATAGTCTGTATTTGTGAATCCAAATTGATTTGTAATAACATGCTTCTGTTGGTATTTTTTGGCTGCATTGAGCATTTGTAGTGAAATGCTTTTCAACATCAATCATATATACTCCCTCTTTCCATGTTTACAAGGCCTATTAATCTTGTTTAGGTTAAGATTGTTCAAGTTTTGACCAAGTTCATAGAAAAGATATCAATACCTATGGTACCTAATAAAAATATATTTCATGATAGATCCAGTGATATTGATTTCGTACTGTAGATGTTTGATATTTGTTTCTGGAAACTTGGTCAAACTTTAAAAGTTTTGACTTAAGACAAGATTAATAGGCCTGGTATAAATGGGAGGAGTGCTAAATTGCATTGCGTTGCAATCATTTATATGATCCAGTTCATTAGTCATTTCTTGCTATTTTTCTTTATATTCATTTTTTACTGCTTGGGTTGTTTTTATTGTTGCTTTGATGGCATCATGATCCATAAAAATACATTTAACATCACGTGTCTTCTAGGCATAGCCGGTCCCAAGCCCGGGTAAAGGAGGAGGGTTGTGATAGGCTTGGTGAGCCAACGTAAAAATTAGCCAGTCCCATAGGTATGAAACCCATTTGAGCGAGAATAGTACTAGGATGGGTGACCTCCTAGGAAGTCCTCGTGAAAGGGTTTCATATCTAAGGGTTGTGATAGGCTTGGCGAGCCAACGTAAAAACTAGCCAGTCTTTTGGGTATGAAACCCATTTGGGCGAGAGTAGTACTAGGATGGGTGACCTCCTGGGAAGTCCTCGTGAAAGGGTTTCATATCTAGCCTACCCCAACTTGTTTGGGATAAAAGGCTTCGTAAGTAAGTAAGTAACATCACGTATGGTAATATACTCTACCAGCCATTTCTTAGCTTGGCAATTAATTGTAATCATGTAGCTAGATACATAACTTTACCATCCGTCTCTCCATTGCAGGTTGTTTTGTTGCTCCTTACCCTCATCTTTGCTTTAGTCCATAGTGGCATGGCAAGCTTACGTGAAACTGGTGAGAAAATAATAGGCGAGCGAGCTTACCGCGTGCTGTTTGCTGGAATATCACTACCTCTGGCGCTTAGCACTATTGTGAGTATTTTGTATTTTCTTTTTTTCTTTTTCTTTTGTTAGATGGTAAGCCTTCCTGTATCTTAGAAAGTTGTCCTATATAACTTGCAGGTCTACTTCATAAATCATCGTTACGGTGGTGTTCAGCTGTGGGATGTTAAAGGCGTCTCAGGCGTCCATGAGCTTGTTTGGCTGTCGAATTTTGTCTCATTCTTGTTTCTGTATCCATCTACTTTCAATCTTTTAGAAGTGGCAGCTGTGGACAAGCCAAAATTACACATGTGGGAAACTGGAATAATGCGCATCACGAGACATCCACAGGTAGTTTCCTCAAGGCCATGCTAGCTTATATGGGCCATGAAATCTTGTGCTAGGAGTTTGAAGCTCCTTTTCTGTATTGTGCGTCATGTTAATACGTACTTTATCTAATCAACAGTTATCTTTTTAGTTTGTTGGGCAGGTAATCTGGTGCCTAGCTCACACGCTATGGATCGGCAACTCTGTTGCCGTCGCGGCCTCCGTCGGATTGATCGGTCACCATGCATTTGGCGTTTGGAACGGCGACAGGAGGCTTGCGTCACGCTACGGCGAAGCCTTTGATGTCCTGAAGAAGAGGACCAGCGTCGTGCCGTTCGCTGCGATCATTGATGGACGGCAGAAACTGCCTGATGATTATTACAAGGAGTTCATCCGGTTACCGTACATCACGATCGTGGCTCTGACCCTGGGCGCGTACTTTGCGCATCCGTTGATGCAGGCGGCCAGCTACCGGCTTCCCTGGTAACTAATGGTGAATGGCAGGTTGATGATGTATGTATGTCATTTTGTAGTGTTACGGAAACATGCCAGCCAGCCAACACAAACAAAAGAAATAGTGGTGCATTTGTAGTGTGTGTATGGTGCCCCATGAGCAAATGGATCAGCTCGCCGCACTTAGGATTGTAATACAACTACTGGCCTGTTTGTTCAGGCATTCATTTGTAAGTAAAAGAGGACTACGCACCAAAAGAAACAATTGTCCAGCTGATGCTGCAGTCTAAAGCTCAAGCCATGCTGCAGCTTGGGAAACATCCCATAAATTGTGCATGTACTCGATGGTTACCGAATCAACTGAAGTTCTATCTTTGCTCTGAGTCAGTTTTTCAAATGTATAGAAATACATATCAACACCTGGAACATCAAATTAGTTTCATTGCATACTTTATATAAAATATATCTTGTACTATGTATGTTTAATGTTGTAAATTTTGTCATATTTTTTTGATAAATTTGTTTTGAGGGAGGGAAAAAAAATTAGAACTTCAATTAATCTGGAATGGAGGGAGTAGAAGAACAAACAGTGCCGGCACACTGGACGTTGTTGGTACTGTTATCAGCACCCATTTGACCATTTGAGGGCATATACGATAATATTGTTGTATTTGTCTTCTAAAACGGAAACTTTGTTTCTGCCACTAGCTTTTACCCACTTTGCGTCTGCGACTATATTTTTTATTTTTGCAAGAGAACTTCCAATTTATTCATCTTCAATCGTGGCAATACAACAAACACCAGAAATAACAAAAATTACATCCAGATAGATTCGTAGACCACCTAGGGACGACTACAAGCACTGAAGCGAGCCGAAGGCTCGTCGCTATCATCGCCCCTCCCTCGCCAGAGCTGTGCAAAACTTGTTGTAGTAGATAGTCGGGAAGTCGTCATGCTAATGCCCTACAGGATCAGCGCACCGGAAGAGCAACCACATGCATTGAAGAGTACCATAGATTGAAAGGATCCAACCTAAAAATATAAGAACGTAGACGAACTACAACTAGATCCAAGCAAATCCATCAAGGACAGACACGTCGGAGACACACCTCCACACAGCCACCGACAATGCTAGATGCACCATGGAACGAGGGGATAGACCGGGAGAACCTTATCTCATCTTTAGGGAGCCGTCACCGTCTTGTCTTCCCGAATAGGATGCAAATTATAACAAAGCTTGAAGGAGCATCTAAAAATGGAGCCTTCCCGCTGGCAAGGGCCGGGATCCATCGCACTTTTGCCACCTTTAGCTTTTGACAATGTATCTAAATGCCATTTTCGTAGCAAATGCAAGAAGAATCCTTTCACTTTGTCACTCATAGGTTTTGACAATGTATCACAATTGCCACTTTATTTTTTCCGTTTTTTTTGCCACGAAATGATAATTGTGATGTATTGTCAAAATCTAAGAGTGACAAAAGGGGAATGTCAAATTCTAAAGTGACATACGCAAAGTGGACAAAAATTAGAGTGGCGAAAAACAAAGTTTTTTTCAAAACTTCTAAAATACCTTTTGTTTTTGGCCACATCCGCCCCACCAAATCATGGGCAGCCAAAATTTTGGCGGACGATTTGCCTGAGCAGTTCGCCATGGAGTTAGCGTGAAAACTGATGTTTATTTATCTAATTACTAATTTTTTTTAAACCGGCTGAAAACAGCGAGACGCAAGCCTCCTCCAGCGATCGACATGTGTCCCTGGTGGCCCCACGCGCCGCTATGGCGTTGTGTTGTGCTGCGTTGACCCTGTGGCGTGCCGCCGCTAGGACGCAGATCGAACGGCCTCCCTCCGCCCTAAGAAATCATCCGGCTGATTTGTAGCAGCGCCCTTACTAAATCCCGTATTAAATCAGCGTCAATTAATATAGGGCGGAGGGAGTATTGTATTTCTCAGGAAAATCAACCAAAACCACAACTTCGCATAGTCCGAGTGGGGCCGGCCTGTCAGCGCCCGTACGTGGAGTTTCATCTCAGCCGTCCGTGCAACGCTCCTCGTGATTCGTGCAGCGATGGTGGCCATGTCCTGGCCCACAAGTCACCGCGAAACGACCAAACCCCAAACCCTTCTCCCCCTTCCTTCCCCAACCCTTCCGGCGGCGGCGCGTAGGCTCTCGCTCCCTCCCCTCCCCACCGTCTCCGATGGCCCTCGTCGCCGGCTCCTACGAGCGCTTCATCTGGGGCTTCTCCCTCAAGGCCCTGGCCGCCGCGCCCCCCTCCTCCGAGCCCCAGGCCCTCGCGCCGCTCTTCTCCTACCCGGCCCACGCGGGGCCCATCCGCTGCGTGGCGGCCGCGCCGCGGGCGGGGCTCGCGGCCTCCGGCGGCGCCGACGACTCCATCCGCCTCTACGACCTGCGCGCCGCCGCCGACCTCGGCCCGCTCCTCGACCCCTCCGCCGCCGTCTCCGCGCTCGCCTTCCACTCCATCGGCCCCGTGCCCCGCAACCTCCTCGCCGCCTCCGACGACGGCCTGCTCCACATCTACGACGCCGACGGCTTCGCGCTCCTCACCTCGCTCCGCGTCTTCCCGCGGGGTCGCGAGGCCGCCGACGCCCTCGCCGTGCACCCCTCGGGCCGGGTCGCGCTCGCCGTCGGCCGCGCCGGGGGCCTCTCCATGGTCAACCTCCTCCGCGGCCGCCGCAGCTTCACCTGCCGCCTCGAGCGCCCCGCCTCGGCCGTCGCGTACGCCCAGGACGCCGCCGGCGGTGACCGGTTCGTGATGGCTGCCGAGGAGAAGGTCACCGTGCATGACTCCGAGGACGCCAGGATCATCCATGAGATGCGCTGCGACAAGAGGGTTCTTGCCTTAGCTCCATCAAAGGTATTCACATTTGCTCCTGATAAACCACCTACATAGTTGTTAATCATGTCATGATAATAGATTTCTCTAGGAAAAAGAACATTGTCATAAGAGTGCTTATATCGCTTAATTTTACTAGTAGCTTCCTACCTACTGTAGGATTTAAAAGATTATGGCTGGTTAAGAGTGTACTTTGTATGGCTTGAGAAGTTCCTGAAAACTGTTACCCTGTCCATTGCAAATTTGGCAAACCTTTGGTCAACCATCTGACAGCCCATAATGCAAATTGTTTACCCTGTCCAATGCAAATCTGACCTTTGGTCAGCCATCTCACAGCCCATAAGACTCCTTGGTAGAACTTCATGTTGTGGTCTAGCTATCAGGACTCAGTTCTGTTTCCCCTTGTGAAGTCGGTGGATCTTCATATCATATACTTACTGTCATAACGCTTTAGCTTCACTTCCATTGCTTTTCTATTCTTTGTGCTATATAAATCTTTCTTCTAGAAATAGAAACACCACACGGATATGGGCGTATGCGTAATGTAACATTTTAGCTTCACTTCCGTTATATTCTTTTTGCTACAAATCTTTCTTCTAGAAGTAGAAACACCACACGAATATGGGCGTATGCTTAATGTCATAGCATTTTAGCTTCACTTCCATTGCTTTTATATTCTTTTTGCTACAAATCTTTCTTCTAGAAGTAGAAACACCACACGAATATGGGCGTATGCTTAATGTCATAGCATTTTAGCTTCACTTCCATTGCTTTTATATTCTTTTTGCTACAAATCTTTCTTCTAGAAGTAGAAACACCACACAAATATGGGCGTATGCTTACTGTCATAGCATTTTAGCTTCACTTCCATTGCTTTTATATTCTTTTTGCTACAAATCTTTCTTCCAGAAGTAGAAACACCACACGAATATGGGCGTATGCTTACTGTCATAGCATTTTAGCTTCACTTCCATTGCTTTTATATATTGCCCACTTCTTTATCATGTATGTGCAGAATGGAGCTCTTTACACCGGAGGAGAGGATCGTGGTATTACTGCTTGGGATCTGTCGAGCGGCAAGGTTTCATCGCGCATCGAGGGCGCTCATTCAACTCGTGTAAAAGGGATTGTCATTTTCGATAACCAGAACAACGGATCTGAATCGAGCACTTTGGTTGCCTCGGCTTCATCTGATGGCATCATAAGGATCTGGGATGTTCGGATGATTGGAAGCGAGAAGCCTACTCCATTGGCAGAGGCCAACACAAAAGCAAGGCTAACATGCCTTGCTGGGACATCATTGAAATGTAAGTCCATGGAAGCTTCATCTATACATACATAAAACAGAGCATATCATTGATTATTCTCAGAAAAATGAATCGTGATTGATGTTAAACCTGGTTTCATGAGTCATGTGTTGATACTTGAACAAAATGCCTTTTTTTTTCATATGATCCTATTTGTCACTGGCATTTGTGTTCATTGGTGTCTCTTGATTCTGCAGGAGTTAATCAAGTGAGATGTTGAGTTTGAGTTAAACTATCTAAGAGAGGCTGGGCTACCAGTTTTGTGATGTTTAGTGTAGTCTATGTAGCGGGCTCTTACTGGTGATACGGACCGTGGAAACTCCAAGCTGGAAATCTTGAAGGCAGGCACTAGTTGGATGCATGGGAAATGTATGATATGAGAGCTAGTCATGGATTATACATCATCGTAGTTTGGCTTGAGGGCATGGACTGTTTAGATTAATGTCAAGGCGATTGCAAGATCCGGTTGTATCGATCACAAGTTTTCAGTGTGAACCATTTTGTTCTAATATTAAGCGTGCAGGTTGCCACAAATATGTAGCCCCCATGTATGAATTTCTACTCTCTTTTTTCCACCGTTCGATGATGTTCGCACCGACACCGAGTTTTCCAGTCATATACTGAATAATACTCGTACATGAACTGGTGTCTCACACTCAAACTGGAAACACTTGTCGACCTGATCATCACAACTTCACAAGAATGTTTTCAGTTGTAAAGATCTTTCTGTTCCTTTGGGGCAGGACATGTGGGTCGACTGATGAATATTTAGCTTCAGATGCTCATGCTAATACCAAGGATCTTGATGATATCCTAATATAAACTACTACTCACTCCACTAGTACAAAAAACTAATGATACTGGGGGAGTAGTATGATGGATGAAAACAATCTATTTGAGGATCACCTCTGATAACAATCTCTTAAACAAAACCCACAGAAAACAAACAAATACATGTTGAGATTTATAACTAGCTCTCATTATCTCTCTTGGTTTACAAAATGCTTAGATTTATTTTAAGACATGTTGCGGCTAGAGTTTCTTGAGCATGATGGGCGCGCCATGATCAGGCTGCAGGGTAGAGACCGGGAATGGGGCGTGCCTGTAGGACGGCGACAGCCCGAACTGGAAGCGCTGCAGTATCCTGCTCAGCGCCATCTTGGCCTCGATGAGCGCGAAGTTCTGGCCGACGCAGACCCGTGGGCCCCACCCGAACGGGAAGAACGCCGGCGACGACGAGCTCCCGGACGCCTTGGAGACGCCCTCGGCGAACCTCTCCGGCCTGAACTCGTCGGCGTCCTCTCCCCAGACGTCCGGGTCGTGGTGGAGGAACACGATGGGCAGCGAGAGGATCACCCCCGGCGGGTACCTGACGCCGCCCAGCTCCACCTCCGTGTACGTCTGCCGGTCGAACTGGATCACCGGCGGGTACAGCCTGAGCACCTCGTGCAGCACCATGGCCACCACTTTGAGCTGGTTTATGCCGTCCAGGTCCGGCTGGTCCTTGTCCCCGAAGACGTGCAGGACCTCCTCCCTCGCCCGGTCCTGCCACTCGGGGTGCATGCTCAGCGCGACCAGCGTCCAGGTGAGAAGCACGGCGGTGGTGTCCATTCCGGCGAAGTAGAAGAGCTTGAGCTCCCCGATGATGTCGTCCATGGTCATGATGGGCTTGGTGCTCCCGGCTTCCTTGGTCTCCGCGGCGTTGCACTCCATCAGCACGCCCAGCAGGTCATCGTTGCTGGCGCTGCCTTCTCTCATGGCCATCTCCCTCTTGCCAATTATGCCTTTGAGCAGCGACTCGACCTCGCGCGCGTTCGCCTTCACCCGTCTGTTGAGCTGCATTGGTAAGAACCTACTCAAGGAAAAAAGAGCAATAATCACAAGCGGGTAATGTGCAAAAGTGACCAGAGAGAGACCAAGAGTCTAACGGGAGACTCACTTGAAACCTGGGAGGTATAGGGTGTTGAGCATCTTCACCACATTCTGGGCCTGCTCCGACTGTATCTGGAAAATCCTCCTCCCTTCGCTGAAGCTGCTGCCGAACGCCGCGCGGGAGATCACGTCGCCGGTGAGGTTCTGGAACTCCGGCCACACGTCAATCTCCTTGGCCTCATCGGATCCCACATGATCCTCCCACCTAGCTACCAGCTCATTGCAGCAGGCAACGAAAGCGGGCATCATTTTCTGCATCACAAGTTCACAACCAAAGGCAAATTGAACATTATTCAGACAAGCAAGCAAGCGGCGCCTTGGAGTTGCATGTTCTGACATGAAGAAGAAGAAACGATCGCGCGTGGTTTGGTTTTCGCGCTTGCCTTGAGTTTCTCAAGATGAAATGCGGGGTTGATGATCTTCCGGTGAGCGGCCCATTTCTCGCCGTCGTGGCTCACCAGCCCGTTGGCCAGCCGCCTGACGATGCCATTGCTGAACTTGCGCTTCCGGAAGTGCCCGGACTTGTTGGCTAGTATCTCCCGCACCAGTTTAGGATCGTTCACGATCACCCTCGGCGTCGGGCCGAACCAGGTCACGGAGATCTTCCCTGCAATTTTTTAGCTTTCTAGAGTTTCAGACACGCAAGTCTGAACAAGTGACCATCACAGCCATGTTCACTAATAACTTCTTTAATATGCAAAAAATAATGTAATGATGGATTTAATTTATTTACCGTGCTCCTTGATCACGCTGTGGTACAGAGGGGCCACCCGCGCTGTGATATCGTGCGACGGCGGCAGCATGGGCTCCGACCGGGCCACGGCGACCAGCCGGGAAAACTCCTGCAGATCGCCGAACGGGAAGCGGTACGCCCTGCCGCCGAGGCCCTGAGCCCGGAGCGCTCGGCCCAGCCTCCGCGGGGTGACCCAGGCCAGCTCCAGCACCCTCCAGGCCCACCACAGAGCCACGAGCGCCGCAAGCGAGAGCAACAAGCTCCATTGTTGCGACAGCACAGCTCCGATCGCCATGGCTGATCCGAGCTCTGAAGCCTAGCTCACAGTTTGGTGTTGGGCATGGAATGCAAGAGGTGAGTGCTAGGAGGGAAGCTATGCTATGCAGAGAGGGAAGCCACTTATATATAATAAGCAGCAAACTCCTATGGATGTTATGATACTGTTTTGATGGAGTAACCAAAGCTGAATGGTGTTGATTTTGCTGACAAGCTTCTGCCATCAGTGCGTACGTATGTATCTAGTTGTCGGTGCAGGGAAACAAGGAGAAAGAAACAGAATGAAGAGTTTTGCAGCACTGAATGGAGGCAGTTATTTACCTTGGAGGAGGTCCTAATTACCATCTTCCGCAGTCCTGGACCGTACCTGGCTAGGGACTCGAGGGTGATCAGCTTCTGCTCAGCATGGTGTGACTGCAATTGTGTAATGGTTGGCTGGTGAAGTGTAAGGGAATAGATGGACACAGGGTTCGATCTACACTCTCTGTTGCAGTAGCAGGTTACAGTTCATCGGTACACGAATGGAGGAAGCACTCTCGAGAGGAGTCGAGGAGGAAGAAAGGTAAAAGGGGAAGTTGGCGTTGACTTGAACGACGTGGGGGTAGTAGCTGTGGGCGATGGCGACCGAGTTGAAGGAGATGCTGAAGTAGTCGTTGAAGCTGTCGACGGAGCCTTGCACGAAGCCGGCAACAACAGCGACGACACCCCACCTTCCTTGGAAATGTCCTTGATTGTAGCAGGAAGAGGACACCATACCACCCATGCCCGGTGCGCTCATGCTGATTACCATTGCCATTAGAATCTGCGACAGTTGAATATCAGAAGTCTGCCTTGTGACCCTCCCAGGATCGCATGACTTATGCACATCACCGGTAGGGTATTCGGTCGAAACGGCAACTGGAGCACTGGGAAGATCACATGAGTAATACCACCGTGGACACCCCTCGATTGTAGCTTGTATGTCTTCACGCCTGCAGGCATCCACATCAGGTTCAGGGAATGGCCAGTGCTGCTCACCCAACAGAGAAATAGAGTTGTCCAGCTTGCGATAAACAATAAGTGAGCGTAGAGCGACAAGCTTGCTGCATTATGAGCACCAATAGCTCGAATGCGCTCTCAATCCCATAGCTATTCTGCAGTTGCTGAGAAAGTAAGCGTGTCAGTGCACCTGCTGGTGTACTGAAAGCCGCCCACCCGAGACTGGCCAGTAACATTATCATCAGACACTTCTTTAGTTCCAGGAGCCCATAGCCTCTCAAACCGAACAAAGAAACGCCAATGACTATAGTTCCCAGAGGCACTGACTGCACATGAATTCAGATATGCAATGCACGTCTCCAACTCAATCAGTATCAACAAACTTCCCTCTGGTTTGGAGCCCAAAGCATGGACAATTGTTGCTCTTAAATTCTTTGAACTCCACTGTACTAGGCTGCCCTGCCCTCTTGTGAACAGTACGAATAAGATCTCCGATGGAATGCGCAAATAATTGAACCACCACCACGTACCTTGCAGGAGAACATGCCCCTGAGTACTGACATTGTCGTGATCCGCAGTGTCTCTGGCCTTTTTTTAGGCTTAGGAAAACTACCTGCAGCAGCATGTTCAGGAAACTTCCAATGCCCCTGATCAAGAACAGTTGTAAACTGATGCTCAATAGGTTCCCATGAACAAACAACATTAACGGTGATAGTCACCAGTAAAGCAAAATTGTCAATAGTAGAATAGTATTAATCCGGAAGCTCACACTTGGGTAATTCTGGCCACACTGGTACTGCTCGGCCATTGCTTGAAAACGATGGCCTAGACGTGGGGCGGCGGGCTGATGTTGGCTGTCACGGGGATGTTGAGGCCGTGGAACCTGTCGTGGTGACCACAGGTGGCTACACCGATGGCCGCCGTGGTGTTGCAGAGGACGATGGCGAGCTCGGGGCAAAGCGCAGTTGTGGTGTTGCGAACCTCCGCTGCGACGGTGGCGGCGTCATGGGCTTGGTCGACGGCATCGACCTGGGTCGAGCACTCCGTCGAACAGGTGACGGGCACCATCGGGACGCAGACCGGGGTTGCATTGCATCATGGATCTCAAACTTGCGAGCGAATCTTTGGGTGGCTGTCGAAGAATTCAGCAAGATCGACCTCGGGAAAAGGCTCCCTCGCATCGGAACCACCACAGGACGCAATGTTCATCACCGGGTGCTGCCCCAGCTCCACTGGACACCACGCAGAGACAGCTGCTCGGACAAGATGCTATGCACGCTACCTGAAACGATGGAAGTAACATTAGACAAGACCGAAGTTCAGAATTGCCATGGATAGGGGCGCGGCGAGCGCGAGCGCGCGGGTGCCGGAGCCGACCAAGTCAAGGCGGCAGCGCTGGACACGTAGCCAGAGCACTGGCACTTGAGCAGAGTGAGGTCGGCGAGGCTGGGGCACGCGGCGACGGCGCCGCCGACCGCGAGGCCGTCCAGAGACGCGCCGGAGATCTCCAGCACGCGAAGCCGCTCCGGGAGGCGCGCCAAGGAGGAGAAGGGGCAGCAACAGGCCGCCCTTGTGTGGGTGGTGTGGTTGGCATAGCTGAAGAGAGAGATTGGCTCTAAGAGCATCTCCCACGTATATCTGGCCAAACGGGCCGATTTTATCGGGCCGGCCCGGCAGCACGGCGGCACGGCACGCCCGGCAGCACGGCCCGGCACGGGCTAATCGTGCCGTGCCAGGCACGAGGCACGCACTGGGCCGTGCCTGGGCCGCGACCCTCAGCCCGCGTGCCAGCACGGCACGACACGAATTCTAGCGGGCCGGCCCGTGGCACGGCACGGCACGCAGCCCGGCGGCACGGCACGATTGGCCTGCCTCGATCGTTGGGGGAGCGGGGCTGTGATCCTGTCGGGCCAACGCGCGCC